GCGGCAGCTGGGAGAGGGGCAAGACCTGCGGCAGCTGGGAGCACCGGCACACGGGCGGCAGCCCCCTGCACCCCAAGGAGCCCAGCCCGGACGCCTACTGCAACCTCGTCATCTTGGCCGTGGCCGACCGAGTGAGCGCCAGGCCCTCACAAGGCTGGGCAAGCCGGGTGCCGCAGCCCACCCGGCTGGTTCCCCGGCCCCCCGTGTGGCAGGGGCCGAGACTTCGGCCTGCTTTTGGCAGCCATTGGAGCGCCAAGGGGGTGCCTCGAGCTTTGGGGATGCTGAAGGAAGGTGTCCCCCTCTTGCACCCCCTGAGTCCGGAGCCCTGGTGCAGGAGGGGCAGAGGGACGCCTGGGAAGGTCAAAAAGGTCAAAATGGAGACCACTCCCCCTGCCCCTTTCTAGCAGCAGCAGTTCCAAAACGGGTTTGGTCTGTCCTTTCCCTATAGATGCATTGCCCCCCTTCCTCACTACTCTTGGGGTAGTGTGATGCAGCCAAGCCTGAACCCCACTGGACAACCAGGAGGTCAGGACAGAGGACCTCTACAAAACCACCCCCCAACTCGAGGCTTTGAAGGGAGCTGAAGGCCAAAATATCTGGGGTGGGGGCACCAGGTTGCTTTAAAGAGTCCTATTTCATTGCATGGGAAGAAAGCATGCAAAATAGCAAATGTGTATGTCAACGTCTCAGCAATTTTGTTGCTTAGGCTGGGCAATCCGAAGAGCAAAAAACAAGGAAGCAGGGGTGTCTGGGGGGTGTGGTCAAAAAAGTCAAGATGGCGCCTACAACAGTGCGATCAAAGTTGTCGTGGGTGCCATCTTGACTTTTTTGACCACACCCTCCAGACACCCCTGCTTCTAGCTGCAAATGACCGTCTCACACCTCCAGACCATACAGCTGACCGGAACCCTCCCTGCTCTTCCTTCAGGACACCGCCGAGGAGTCGTGCGCTCTGATATGTCAAGTTTTCCAGATCATTTACGGCGACCAAACCATTGAGTGTGTGGATCGGGCCGGCTATCATTACACCTCCACACCGAAGCGTCCTTGGCTCTCCAGCCGGAGTGAGTACAAGAAATTCCCTTTGCAGGGCTTGACCATCCCATCCCGAAGGATTGGCGGTGCCCAGAATTTGGTGCTGCGTTTCGGAGAAGCTTTTCTGAACCGAGTTCCAATGAAAAGGGAGGGAGGTACAGTTGCTCTGGCCCCATGCAGTGCCACCCGCCCCCCCCATGAGGTGCATTATGACTGGTTCACATAGGCAAAGTCACAGGGCTGCCTCACCCCCCCTTACCCACTTTGACCCTATTCTAGCATGTCGTGAGAATCCACCCAGGAAGTGTTTGTGCTTTAGAGCCACAAAATGCCACGCTTAGCTTCCATTCAGGGCCCTGATTTGGTGGGGTTATATAAAAAGAAGGAACAAAGGTCTGTGGAAAGAAACAAGAACATATACGAGTGTCCTATGGCCACTGTGTTGTATGGGAGTCAGAGCTGGGTGTGTCAGGAGAAACAGGAAACTAACTTGAGCACGGTGGGAGTGTGGGGTTTAAGAAAGGCGGGTGGCAAAGCGAGAGGAGACGGATCAAGGGTGAGTGGACACTGAATGAACGTGTATGAAGGAAGGGCGTTGGGGTGCTCCATAAGCCGACCACAAGCTGAACAGTTGTTTTTTTTCATTTTCTCTGCAAGCTTCTTCATTTCTAACCGTTCCGGTGAAGGAAAAGCAATGTTGGTGCATCACCAATGAGCTACTATGGTGCTTTTCTGGAGTCAAGGCAGATATTCGGACATGTATTGTAGAATTTGAAGCTGCATTCACACAAACCCTTCACTTTGTTACTGAATAAACAGGGCGGGGGGGAGTGGTGCACAATACCTTGGCCCCTTAGCCAACCCAGAGGGCTGGGTTCGTTACTAACTTGTTTAAAAGTACCCAAAGCTATATGTTGGGCACACCCAGCCACTGTGATCGAACCGATCTGGTTGAATGGAGGTGGCCTTAAGGCGACCACTAGACTCAGCTGAAGTTGTGGGGAAGTTACTATTATGTCATAATCACACAGTCATCGTTGAGATGAGTGGCTCTATAAAGTGATTGAATAAATAAATAAATTTTGCTCACTATTTTTGCTGATACTATAAATGAACCGTGCTAGATTCTAGCCTCCCTTAATCTCCAGCCAGCACATCTGGAGAACACCAGATCGGGAAGAACTCCAACCGAAGATTAGCTAAAATCATGGCATACAAGCTAATCTCCCAACCTGGATTCCCATCGTTCCCTTCTCTGGGACAAGAAAAGCAACTTCTGCACAGCCAGATGTTACCGGAGCACAAATCTCAGCAACCCTCCCCATTAGCTGTGCTTCCAAGGGATGCTGAATTGTATCCCGCAACATCTGGAGCGCCATCAGGTGCCTACCTGTTCCAATCCGGACATCTTTCAAGTAGAGGGACTTCAGCTCCCAGAACTCTAGCAACGGCCCTGCTGGCTGGGGAATTCTGGGAGTTGAAGTCCACGGATCTTAAAGCTGCCAAGATTGAGAAATACCGATCTCCTGGGAGCGTTCATATATCCATCTTCCTTCCTAAAAGGAGAGAAGAGGGAAGATATTGTCGCTGGCTGAGTTTGCTAATGAATGCATGTAAATGCAGAGATGGGGTTAAATATATTCAAGGCTATGCTAGCAAATTAAAGGGAGATGCTGGGCTTGTGGTTCAGCAACATCTGGCTGAGAAGAGGGCTATTAATAGCCAGATCAGTGACAGTAGAGCAGTGTGTCTCAACCTTGGCCACTTGGAGATGTGTGACCTCAACTCCCAGAATTCCCCAGCCAG